ATTATTATTTTAATCCTCAGTTGAGGACATGTTTAGAGAGGCAAAGGAAGAGAGAGAGATTGGTGTGAGAGAGAAACATTGATCAGTTGCCTTCTGTAGGCTCCCCAACTGGAGATCAAACCCACAACCCAGGTTTGTGTCCTGACTGGGAATCCAGCCAGCAACTTTTCGATGCACGGGATGAAGCTCAACCACCTGAGCCACTCTGGCAGGGCAAAACTAAATATTTTAAATTTCACAAGCATTTTTAAAAAGAGCAGGCAGTGCTTCCCTCCATTCAAACTAATGTCAGAGCAAGCAGTCTCCCCTCTACTATCTGATTTTATCCACACAATGACTGTCGCCTGTGAAATGGGCCAGGGAGAGGGAAGGGCCTTTGTCAGTGTGTCTCTGGGACAATTGGGAAGTAGAATTGCCAGTGATTCTATGGCTTGACAACCAGAGGTGAGACTTGCATTTCTCCTGACTTTTTCTGTCCTTCCCTTTTGACAACCCATAAGAATCCTGCTCACTTGTCTGGTTTTGTAGAATCCGTTGTCAAGAATAGATCCCTGGGGGCTCAGCCTGCCTGTATTAAATAGTCAGTAGTCTGTAGATATTGATGAAGTTTCTAAGGCTCTGATTCTCTTTACATTAATTGGCTTGGTGGTTCTAAAAGGTGTAAGGGCCTGGCTGCCGTGGTTCAGTGGATTGACCTTTGAACCAGGAGGTCACGGCACATGCCTGGGTTGCAGGCTGGATCCCCAGTATGAGGTATACCGGAGGCAGTCGATCAGTGATTCTCTTTCATCATTGATGTTTCTCTCTCTCCCTCTCCCTTCCTCTCTGAAATCAATAACAATATATATCTTTTTAAAAAAACCCAACAACAAGATTCTGTCAAAGAATCAGAAGACAGACTTAAAAAGTGTCTTCAAAAATAAACAACCAAATAAATAAAAGGTGTAAGAGTGCCAGGGAGGAGGGGACGTGCCCAGATCACAACTGCTTACCTTGCTGGTCTTACTGATTCTGAGAGTGTCGCAGGGAGGGGACATGTGTGAATGTGAAGTGAGTGGGGACGATTCTAAACGGATCTCCTCCCAGCCATTTACAAAACTGTGTTCCCAGCCTCTGCTTGTCTGAAATAGCTGTGTCTCTGTGTACCAGGTTATCAGGGGGAGGTAGGCAGTTATATGCAGCCTAGGAAGTTGGTGGTGTTACTCGTGGCCGTGTCATTATTTGGCTTCTTTTCTCGTTCCAGACCGGAACATGAACATCCTGCAGTACTGCCCCTCCTCCGACATCTGGACCCTCTTTGAAACATGTGACGTCCACATTCGCAAGCAGCAGATGGTGTCGGTGGAGGAGACGATCTACATCGTGGGAGGGTGTCTCCACGAACTGGGACCCAACCGGAGGAGCAGCCAGAGTGAGGACATGCTCACCGTGCAGTCCTACAACACTGTCACCCGGCAGTGGCTCTACCTCAAGGAGAACACGTCCAAGTCGGGCCTCAACTTGACTTGTGCGCTGCATAACGACGGCATCTACATCATGAGCAGAGACGTGACCCTGTCGACCAGCTTGGAGCATCGAGTTTTCCTCAAGTACAACATCTTCGCAGATAGTTGGGAAGCATTTAGGCGTTTTCCGGCCTTTGGACATAACTTGCTGGTTTCCTCTCTTTATCTGCCTAATAAAAAGGAAACATGACTGAATTGACTTAGTATATACAAGAAGCCTGGTTCAAGACAAATATAAAATGTAGGGCCCCATTTCCAAGGAGGCTGACTTAATAGGTCACATATACAACAGCTGTAAATAAGCTTACTTGAACTAATTACTTGAAAACTTGTGGAGAAAAGAGACCAACATTATTATTTTTTTAATTATTGGTTTTTAAATTATGGGAGCAAATCCATGATCATGTTTTCATCCAGCTATGATAACCTTGGGCCAATGACGAAAGCTGATCATTGAAAAGAAGATTCATTGTGTCTGCTTAGTAAAGGGCCAAAGTCAGTAATTGGTGCGAATGGTAGAGATAATTTTGAAATCTGTTTTATTTCGGTCACTTGAAATATCCTAATACCTTAAGTGAAAGTGTGTTTTTTTTTTTTGGTTATTAATTTACTTGACAAACATTTATATTAACACTATTGTCTCCACCTTTCCCCCAGTTATAACCACATATACTGTGTTCAGGTATCATTTGCACACTACCTTCTAGGAAACATACAATGATGGAACCCTATAGTGAAGCCTTGCAAACATCCAGTCCTCCCCAAAACTTGCATAAAAACTTTCTCAGCGATTTTTCCAGTCTTTTTTGCAATTACAAATGCTGAGTAAATAGGCAGATATAACTACTTATTTCATTTATGTGGCAGGTAGCAGATATATGTGGCCAGAGAAGTTGCATTGCTTATTGTTTAATAGAGAATATATTGTTTAGAGGGATGCATTCATATGTATTTTAAAGTGGAGCCTTAAATTCAGAGGGGAAGAAAAGGAAACACCAAATAAGAAAAATAATCACCTTTTAAGAGTTACTTTTATTGAATGTATTTGACTTAGTTCTTTTTTTTTAAGACTGAAAAAATAACCTTATATTTAGACCAAGCATCTTTCTAACTTAATTTTAGCCTTTTAATTCACGCTTTGCTTTGGTGGGGTAGGGTGAGGAAAGCTGTGAACGGCCTGCGCTGGAGAGGGGACGAGGCTCTGATAGAAGTGGAGTGGCATCTGGTGCTATTTCCGAAGTTAGGTAAGGAGCTCTACTTGATTGTTAAATCCAACGGAGCCCAGTTCAAGCACTTGCGTGTTTTCAGTAAGTCAGTTAACAGTGGATAAAAGCTTCTGCCCATCATAGATCAGCATTTCTTAAAACACACACACATATTTACAGAAATTTTGTTTTGATTGGAAAACACTTCCTGAACTTCTCTGATGTTTTGTAACGGAATCAGGCCAGCTGTGCGCTGGATTCCATCCTAACGTTCCAGCTACAGTGCGCCTCACTTCAGGAGAGCCCCGCAGCAAAGCAGACAGGGTTACGGCACGCTCGTCACGGCAGACGCTTCCCACGTGCCTCCAGGAGCATGCACCGTGTAGACGGGGTCTAGGGGCGCTACTGCTTCAAAGTTCATGTCTTTCAGGGCTCACTTCAGGGTATCTACAATCGTGGCCTCCTGGCACATCTAAAAGGAGGGTCTGGCTGTAAAAACTTCATTTGCACAACTTTTCAGGAACACTGCTAGGTAAAATGAGGTAAGCCCTTATTGTGGCCATGGAGACAGATCTTTGTATCTTGTCACCAACTAATCCTACCAGTACTCAGAAATCTAGTTCAGGGTTTCTAAGTCATATCCATTTATTCTCAAATACTTAGCCCTTTTTTCTTTAGACTTTGCGCTGAAATGTTCCTGGGAATGGTACTTTAACAATAGGTTCATATTACTTTATATTCATTATAGAATTGAATTTCTAGTGACTTATAATTTCATTACATGTATTTAAAAATATAATTTATTTTAGATAGTGTTAACTTCTGTTGCTACAGAGCTTAACTTTTTAAGGCTTGACATTATATATTTAGAAGATTCTGGCCAGTTGAATTAGTTCTGGACAAGCAATTGGATACTAGCTTATAAATATTATATAAAATGCAATGTTAATCCTGCCAACCAGTTCTCTTCCTGATTACATTCTTTGGGTCCATTTTCCTAAAGCCAACAACTAGATTCTTGGCCCAAGCGAAGGCATATCCTGATCCACAAAGCTCTTTTTATAAATCAGGTTTGCTGTGTGTGTACATGTGCATATATCTGTGTGTGTGTGTGTGTGTGTGTGTGTGTGTGTACACATGTATAGGCTGAGATATTATAACTCTGAGATATGCAGACTTTTAAAAAGGTTTTGTTGCTCTGGGCTGCCAGCAGTGTGGGGCAAGGTGGAATGTCCAATAGGAACCGACCAGTGGACTTGGGACATCCTCCTTCCTGTGGTGCACATGAGCTGAGTTGACATTTTGAGGGTCATTTTAATTTAGCTCTGTTCCCATGTTGGTGCCATGTTCCAGTGAAGACTACCTATGTGAAAAGTGAAGTTGCTTTGAAAATCTCCCCTCACCCCCAGGATTTTGCTTTTTGATACGATCCCTCTGTTTTCTTTCTTTCTCTAAAGGTGTTTTCTTTTCTGAGATGCTTTTTGTGGGGTGCTCACCTCCCATTATGGGAGGGGGTTCCTGGGGGGATCCCCATGGTGGCCACCCTGCCAGAAGCACCCTCGTTCACTGAGAATGGTCTGTCACCTCCCATTATGGGAGGGGGTCCCTGGGGGTACCCTGCCAGAAGCACCCTCGTTCACTGAGAATGGTCTGAATGGCAGAGAGTGAGCCCTGAGCGTGGATTGGCAGAGGGGCATTACTGGTTCGTTCTGTCATTCTTTCTGGCTGTCTTTTCAACATTTGTAGTTTCAGAGGCTTCTCCCTTTCGTGTTCTTTGAAAGTTTTTTGGATGAATGGGTAAGAGTTGATTATTTCAACAGTATTAGTTAAGTCATAACCATGAAGTACTTAGAAGGTGATGGATACTAGTAGGAAACAAGCAGATTAAGATGACGCCTGAATACCAAAGAGAGTTAAACTCTGCCATTTATTTTGGAATCCAAATCTCAAGTAATTCCAAATGCCTTAGATATCAATTAAAGTCATGCTGAGATAGACAAATCTCAAGCAAACGATCAAGAAAATGCTCGTTCTCTTTCAGTAAACGCTCTCACTGAGCACTGTGGATGCCGTGCTTTCAAGGTTCCAGGTAAAAGCGTGACTCTGCTTCTTGGCAGCACAGGTAGTTGGAGGGGAGAGGCCTTGGCCTTCCTGGTCAGCCAGCGTGCAGTGAGCAGTGGCTTAAAGCAGAGCATTCTGAGAGGCAGCATAGCCACAGAAAGGTAACGGGTGAGCGTGGCATTCCTTCCAGCTGGGGGTGGGGCACATCTGTGCCATCCTTCTTTCAAGGTGGCTTTCCGAGCGAGCGGCACTCCTTTCCTCTGTGCCAGGACTGGGCTGTAGAATCCATGTCAACACGTCTAGGCATCCATTGCCGTCCGTCAGGGAGATGAAGTCTATTTGTCGTCCCCGCCTTAGAGGACTCACTGAATGAGGTGAGTAGATAGTTCCCAAAATGGCTTTGAAAGCAAGGAGGCAATTGAGCCAAGTTCCCAGAAATGTGTACAGTGTGTCTATCATGTGCAAGACAATGCTAAGAACTGGGTGTACAGATTTCAATGTGCCACCATCTCTGACCTTGAAGAGCCTACCACCTTGTGAAAATGGTCACCGTAATCATAATGATAGAGTGCCCCTCAAAGATGCCCACTTGTGTCAGACACACAGGGCCGCTGGCTTGGCTGCCTCTTCAGTCCTGGTCCAATCTGTCCATTAGTGAGTTACTAACAGTCATGAAACAGCTTTTCTGTAAGTTTGATCATCACGCTTGTGTTTTGGATGGTATGCTTTTTTTCCTCACTACGTTCCATAGTCTTTTCTGTACTTCATTCAAGGTGGCTTTCCGAGCGAGCGGCACTCCTTTCCTCTGTGCCAGGACTGGGCTGTAGAATCCATGTCAACACGTCTAGGCATCCATTGCCGTCCGTCAGGGAGATGAAGTCTATTTGTCGTCCCCGCCTTAGAGGACTCACTGAATGAGGTGAGTAGATAGTTCCCAAAATGGCTTTGAAAGCAAGGAGGCAATTGAGCCAAGTTCCCAGAAATGTGTACAGTGTGTCTATCATGTGCAAGACAATGCTGAGAACTGGGTGTACAGATTTCAATGTGCCACCATCTCTGACCTTGAAGAGCCTACCACCTTGTGAAAATGGTCACCGTAATCATAATGATAGAGTGCCCCTCAAAGATGCCCACTTGTGTCAGACACACAGGGCCGCTGGCTTGGCTGCCTCTTCAGTCCTGGTCCAATCTGTCCATTAGTGAGTTACTAACAGTCATGAAACAGCTTTTCTGTAAGTTTGATCATCACGCTTGTGTTTTGGATGGTATGCTTTTTTTCCTCACTACGTTCCATAGTCTTTTCTGTACTTCATTTATTTTGGGGGGAAAAATTATGTGATCTTTATTTAAAAACTAGAGGGCCAGTGCACTCAAGGAGGGGAGTCCCTCAGCTCAGCCTGCACCCTTTAGCAGTCTGGGAGCCCTCAGGGGATGTCCGACTGACCGCTTAGGCCCGCTCCTGTGGAGAGCGGGCCTAAGCGGTCAGTCGGACATCCTTAGCACTGCTGCGGAGGCTGGAGAGGCTCCTGCCACTGCCACTGCACTGACCAGCTGTCAGCCCAGTGTGGGAGTGCACTAACCACCAGGGGGCAGCTCCTGCATTGAGCATCTGCCCCCTGGTGGTCAGTGTGCATCAAAGTGACTGGTCATTCTGCTGTTTGGTCGATTTGCATATTACCCTTTTATTATATGGGATGCTTACTAGGCACCACAGCTAGAGCCCTTGAAATGGAGGAGCAAAGCTAGGGAAGTGGGTATAGAGAGAGAGGCAAGCTATTTGCATGTGCATTTATACCTATGCCTTTAAAACACTTCCATAACAAGTATTAATAAAGAAACTATCCTTAAGACACTAGTGCTGACTAAAAGTCAGTTGATTTTGCCTTTGTGCTAACTATGTAAGGGTATTTTCCATCTGTATGTTTCATTCACATAAGAGTGTGTGTTTTTCATTTTCTTGTGTTCACTTTGGAGCATGATATAAAATACACACCCATTGACACAGGCACTTGATAAAACCATTTTCATTCATTCCTACAGGAGACAGATGAATTGTAAAGGATTGTCAATTCTGAGGAGCAAAAGTGTGCAGTCATTACTGTGGTAGGATTGACTGGTGCTTTCTCAAAATGGATGTCATAGTTTGTTTCTAGTAAAGAAATGGAAAATGTAATTTGTATTATTGTGTCATTTTTCTATAAAAAAATTAGGGGGCCCCTTAGACGTCTATACAATGTTTTCATATCCAGTGGTCATGTTGGGAAAAATGATAATCTGTAGAATGAATAGTTATGTTTTGTTATGACTGATACTTTGTTATAAAGGTTGTATTGAGTCTTCAATTTCAAGTGTGGCTTCCCGTGTAAACATTATCATATGGTTCATTTAAATGCAATGATG